GTCTTGCTCATGGTGCTTCGTCACAGCAATAGGACAGTGACTAAACAGTCATGTGGCTTCCTACTTGGCTCAGTCAGCCTCCTAGAAATATTCTATCTTGACAAACCTGACCCAAGAAATAGAAATACGAAATACAGTGGTAACAGCCTAATTAAAATTTAAAGTCACTCGGTAACTGTGCATTCCTCGTGCTGGTTTACGTCACTATTACATAATGGACAATAAAAGTCTTCAATGTTGGTCTCCAGCCAGGAGACTCTTAAAGTCCCAGGTAGAGAAAAGGAAAGTAATCCTGTCTAGATTTCTATCATGAGCAACATTATGGCACCCTCTGCTGTCAGGAAGCAAAATCTGAGGTCCCCTTTTTCCTACAAGTTCCTCCAGCATCCTGGTTCTTACCATCTAAAGGCATAATGTAGAGGAAGGAGAAAAGGCTTGGAGCAGGCTGCTGTAGCAAGATACAACAGCAAAAGAATGAAGATCCAGTTGGTGTGGGCAGTAGAGTAAGAAAGGAAGGGAGGGGGCTGTACTGAGAATCTCTAGTCAGTGACTACAGGGCAGCCAGGCTGTCTGAGCACTTACACGAGGAACACTAGACAAAAAGCCCATGACACAGGCAAAGATCAAGTATGATGTCCTAGGTCACAAAACAGAGCCAAGATACAAACTTGTATTTTTAGCCATTTTTTGCTCTACTTCCCAACAGGGATTACTAGTTTGCAGGGGGCAAACTTCCTTAAGTACATTTATGTTTATTGCTAGTTATTCTTACTTTCATCTAAAAGAAAACTGAGTGCCAGGAAAATTTCTCTCTTCATCCTACGAAAAGAAATAAAATAATTTTAGTCTCTTGCCCACAAAGTTAAATCTGCCCAAAGTTGAAAAGGATTCTTTTCTAAACTTAGGGAAAAACTTATTCTATGGATAAATTTTACTGTAAAATCAAAATTACAGTAACCAAAACAATGCCCTCCATCACAGCTTCATTGAAAGTGGCACTTGTTTTATAGGGCAGAACAGACTTTCAGAATGTTCCACACTTAAAGACTAGTCACTTGGTGAGTAACACCAGTAACAGAAGGGTGGTACTGGGGTGTGTGGAGTGGTGGTGCTTTCTTCATAAGAGACATAACAGCCAGTTCCCCTCCTCCTCAGTGGAAAGGTCTGGGTCAGAACAGGAGGGAGCTGGAGGACACCAGGCTGCAGGCTAGCAGGATGAAACTCCTCAGATGGCGCTACAACAGCTACGCTGAGTCCTGCCTGACAGCCAGGACCAAGGTCCGATCATTCAAAGCTATTTTCTCTGCCCGAGCTCTCCTGGTTCAGACTCCAAGTGGTAACAGCAGTGCCTCGGCCCTGTTGTGACTGGAGCCTTGTATAGTTCACTACAAGCACAGGCAGGAGACACCCCAGTGTTATGACAGCTAGAGGCATAAGCCTTAATACTTATGAGGAGCTAGGATGTTCCAGACAGCTCCTAGTGCCTCACACTTAAGCCTGTTCAGACTTCACCAGACAAATCCTGGATATCAGGCCCATTTTAGTTTATCCTAAGGGGAGGCTAGTCTTTTCATCCTAAATTGCCTTCAGCCCACAGGGTCTGAGCCCTAAATGCCAAGTCAATAGGTCTTTGGAATACAGTATTGTCCTCTATTCTTTTTTTTTCATATTTATTTATTTATTATGTATACAATATTCTGTCTGTGTGTATGTCTGCAGGCCAGATGGTAGTGAGCCACCATGTGGTTGCTGGGAGTTGAACTCAGGACCTTTGGAAGAGCAGGCAATACTCTTAACCACTGAGCCATCTCTCCAGCCCCTGTCCTCTATTCTTGCTTTAGCTAATCAAACAGAAAATTCTGTCCCCATTTAATAGTACTGAGAATAAATTTTTCATTCTCTTTGGGTTTTCCATTCATCCCACTCTATCAGAGGAATAAGTCATTTGATTGGTGAGATTTAGGAAAAGATCATTGCATGTACATAGTCTGGAACCTTCTGAGGACCAATGCTTTCCATAGGCAGCTGCAATGCTTAGGACTCATGGCTTCCCTTCCCAGGAGGTGGGCCCTGTGACAGAGACCTGCTCAGTGATGCCTGGGGAAATTCAATGTAAATAAGTACATATGACCAGATGTCTGAGGTGTATCTGGTCCAAATTACATTTTGTGAAATTGAATAAATAAAGATCTCTTGGGCAGGTTCCAGCAGGATTTATTTAATCCTTGTATTTCTACCTTAAGAATATTATGGTAACATCGGATTTCACTCAGTTCCAAAAATAAACATATCTAGGGGTAGTTTTTCGAACAGATTTTTGTCCACATATGTATATGCACAAACGTGCACGTGCACGCACACACACTCCACATACTTTTCTTTTTATATATTGTCTTTCACATCAGGCATCTCCATTCCATTCATTTCCCTGTCCCTCCATATCCATCCTCTGCCCTTGCAACCTCCCCCCCAAAAATACAAAATTTCAGAAAAAAAGGAAAAGGAAAAACTCAGTCTCATCTTGGAAGCTGTAGTGTGGCAGTGAGCTGTGTAGCAAACCCTTTGATCCAAATCTTTACCTAGAATTCACTCTTCTCACCACATCCTACATACAGTGAAAACTCGAGAACAAATTATTCTTAGTTCTCACTGCAAATTCTATCTATAAAGCAAGTAGGAAAGCTAAGAAAGAAAACTCAAATAAATAAAGCCATAAATGAAAGAACAATAGAAACCCAAATTAAAACAAGATAAATAAACATTTTAAATAAGAAAACAAAAAAAGAAAGACAAACCCACTAGTACAAAATACAGTAAGAGACTATTATGGACAACTACATACCTACACTTAGAATAACCTAGAAGAAATAGATAGATTCTTAAGAACCTACAACCTATCAAGATTGAATCAGAAAGAAACAGAAACGTGAACAGACCAAAAACAAGGAGACTGAACCAATGTAAGAACCAGGGCACAGTCACCACCTGAACAAAGCAAAACCAAGTTCCAGCAGGTCCTGGTATCTTGTTCATCACAGCTGATTCTTCAGCCCCTGCTAACCAGAACCACAAATTCTTAACTCAAAACAGCAAATGACCCTGACTGAGGGTCATTAACTTTACAAGTCAGGCCCCCGTAGTGGGCATTGCTCTCAACATTCTCCTCTTCCAAGCTCCCACAGACAGTTCACCAAGGCTTTCTCAATGACTTTTCTCACCCGAATGTCCTACGTCCTTCTACAATCCTCTCAAAAACAACAGGGTCAGGTCTATCACAGCAACACCCACTATCCTGACACAAACTTGTGTCCTAGTTAGGGTTATGATTTCTGTGATAAATCACCATGACCAAAGCAACTTGGGGAGGATACTGGCTTACCCTTCCACACCACTATTCATCATCAAAGGAAGTTGGAGCAGGAACTCAAACAGGACAGGACCTGAAGGCAGGAGACCATGATGGGTGCTGCTTATTGATATGCTCCTTATAGCTTGCTCAGCCTGCTCTTACAGAACTCGGGACCATGAGCCAAGGGTGTCCTCCTCCATCAATCACTGCTTAAGAAAATGCTCTACAGGCTTGCCTGAAACCCAGTCTTAGGAAGGCATTTTCTCAATTGAGGATCCCACTCTTGATGATTCTAGTTTGTGTCAAGGTCACATAAAAGTAGCTGGCACAGTATCCAAGCGTTAGATTAAAAGAGAGATTATCCGTCTTCAAATGACCTCTTAGTTATTAAAAAGCCCTATACACACTGTACTTGGGTCACATTCATTCCCACTACTTCCCACCAAGACTCTCTAGCAAATCACATCCCAACTTTTATTTTTTTTTTTTTTTGAAACACGGTCTTTAGCCCAGGATGGCCTTGAACTCAGAGATCTTCCTGCCTCTACCTCCTAAGTGATAGGACTAAAAACAGGCACTAACATGCCTGGTCCCTGTCCTTTTTTAAAATTTATTTGTATATAAAAATATACATTTTTTATTTAATTTATATGAATTTGTGTTGGAATTCTGAAATTTCCCCCTGAAATCATGGGGGAACTGGGAATCAAACTCAAGTCCTTTAGAAGAGAAGCAAGTGCTCTTAACAACTGACCATCCCTCCATCTTACCCTATCTTTTTTTAATTAATAATCCACTGGGTCCAATTAGTGCTGTCCATATACGCAGAGGTGATGACATCCACTGGAGCATATATCACCTCCAGAAATCCACACATCCTAATCATGGGTAGTTTTTCCTCCATCGGGAGCCATTCCTAGGGATAGGGTTTCAGGAATCACTCCTCCACCCCTTGCAGGACTTTGACTGGCTCCTCTTCATCCTCTTACATCCTTCCCACCCACCCCCACTATGTTGTTCCTTGAACCTAGAGACCAGGGGTTGACACAGACACCCCATCCATGGCTGGCACATTATTAACTTTGGTCCTAAATTAAGAGGTATATTTAATTCTATTATATAAATACAAAAAAGTATTATAAAATGAACGCACTTGCCAGGAATAGCTCATCTCACTCATTCATCTCTTACTTTTGAGAATTTAGAAAGTAATCCATTTGTTTACATTGAATACATACACTGCTTATATTAATTAAGCAGAATATGTTGATCAAATACAAGGAACGGCAGAATGTACCACTACAAGAGCAGAAACTTTTGTATACACTATTCATTGTCATCTATAAAGCTTCGAGAATCATAACTGGATTACATCTGCTTGATAAATATCTCATGAATGAATTACAATGTGGAGAAGTAATTTTGGCAGACTGAAAGAAATTACAACAATAATAGTTGCCTTAAAATCTCGGAAGAGCTTCATTACTTCACAAGCCACTTTTCCCCAATCAATCATACTTACAGAAAAACACCTCAAAAAAAAAAAAAAAAAAAAAAAAAAAGAAGAGAACTTCTTTTACAATATAAAATGACCTTACTGTCACAATAAAAACAAAAATAAGCAACCTTGGGGGAAAAAAATCCTGTAAAACAATGTCTCAGTATAATTTTATTGGTAGTTTTTACACAAAAACTCACTTGTAGGATCCAAAGGACTGTCTTAGAAAATTCAAAACCATTAGATTTTAACAATAAGAACTTTAAAATTATATTACAGTCCTTAAAAATCAAAGACTATCAAGAACTAGAAATGAACTCTGTGTGCATTGTATCACTTAAAGTTCCATGAAAATATAAAATATTTCTATGTGTGTGACTATATCTGAGGCAAACATCATTGACTTCAAAACTTGACTAAAAGAACTTCCGATCAACACATCAGCATCGGCTTCATCCAGCATGAGTTACGGTAATTCCATCCAGAGAGCTTGAATCCGTAGGTACATATAATATGGCCTGCTGCTTTGCAACATCACAGTTAGGACACAATGTGACAACAGGGTCTTTTACACAGAGTTTATCTACATCACAGAGCTGTCCTCCAGCCGAGGACAGGCTGCTCACTGCTGGTCCACTGCAGCTCTGCGGCCCCCAGCCTGAGCAGTATTGTAGGACTCACAGATCTTACATTTCATGCCTAAGATATGGAATTGGACTGTGGATCGCCCATTACAGTCATTGCAGAGAATCTGAAAAATGAAGATAAGGACTTAAGTCTTGTAACTACAAGTGGCATTGTCTCTATAAAACAATCATTTGAGGGTCATATAAAAGATGTGAGATACACGCATATATCTATAGACATTTCTGCAGTGAAAATGTCTTTTCTCCAATGAATATTTTAAAGATTATTAAGGTAGCTTTGAATTCTGAAAATATGAATCTAAGCACAGAAGACTCATTTTAAAATACTTCCTAAAAGTATACATAATACAAGCAAGAAAATTAGCACAGACATATTCAAATCTAATGTTTATCATTAGGTAAAAAATACTTAACATGTATAACGACTTTATTATTTTCACTGGTACTCAGAATTAACTAATAAAATTTAAATTTCTACAAATTGGAATATTTTTGCTTAATTTTTAGGATTACTATGCCTTAGGAATGAATCAAGAACAAGAGCACTTGTTAAGCCAGAGTTAAGCCAGAAAGCCTCTTGCTAGTCCCTAAACATGATAAAGACTCAATGTCTTCTGGTGTTAAGACACTGAAAACTCAAAATGTCCATCTGAGAATACATATAACTACATAGCAGTCTTAGCATACACACATCCTAAACAAAAAAAATTCCATTTGTTCTTCACATAATTTGGAAAACTACTTTTAAGAATCCTACTTAAAGGCAGAGAGATCAGAAGTTGTCTGAGAACTGACTACGGTGAGGTGCAGCTGGTGGGGTGTAGCTGTTGAGGTGTTTGTTGTTTGGTTATGTTTTTTTGTGTGGTGTGGTGTAGTGTGGTGTGGTGTGGCGTGTGTGTGAGTGCGCGCGTGTGTGGGTATACCTGAGGTCCACGCTGGGTGTCTTCCCTTCACTGCTCTCCACCCTCACCCCTTGAGACAGTCCCTCACGAAACATAAAGCTCAAGGACAAAGCTATAGCATGCAGTAACCATGCCTAATTTTTTCCGTGTTCTAGAAATCCAAACTCAGGCCACTGTGCTTGGGTGGCAGACACTTTACCAAATGAGCCACCTCATCAGCCCTGGCCATAGGGTTTTTTCACAAATGACAAAAATATTTTAAAATATTAAAATAAAAATTGTGGTACTATTTGCAAAATTATGTAAAAGTACTAGGAGTCACTGAATTATATACATTTAAAGAATGGGCTCCAATGTATGTGACATGTACCTTCATAAAGCTACTTTTTTTAAAAGAAAAAGCATCTATATGAACACAATAAACTTCAGCTTCTAATAAACATCTCAATTACCAGATAGTATCTAAAGGATCTTCCATTGTCCTCAGTAACAACTCAGTTACCAACATTAATTTTGGAACTTTACAGTGTAAATAAACCAGAAGGGGTTTTGTTTTTTGTTCACAGTGCTAGGATGAAACCCATGACCTTACACATGCTAACTACTACTGAGCTATGTGTCCAATATTAAAAGTAATTATTTGGTTTTGTTTCCTCTTTGTGTTTGAAAGTATTTGTAGACAATGACAATATTTATATGTCCAAAAGTTATGAAAGCATCAGAAAGCTATTTAATTTTTCAACTCTGAGACTAAGCTACAACACAGCAACTCTCATAGGGCCAAAGGGAATAAGCTAATTGAGACTAAATAAAGGCTACGACAAAATAAAACGTAAACATTAAAATCCAAAAGCTAGCTAGCTTTCAAAACCCAGCAAATATATTCTCTTAAAACAAAATTTTGAATAATTTAAGTGAAACACAGGTAAAATATCAGTGATTCACCTCTGACTCTGGCAAGCGATTTGTCAAAAATTCATAGCAAAGTTTTTGCCTGCCATCTAGTGTTGAGGAAAAACTATACAAAGTTATTCTTAGGATTTTTTTTTCTCACCCTAGTCTGACATCAACATAAAAAATTTTTTTAAATAATTTATTTCCTTTGCTTTAATTAGTTACAATGCCAAATACTAATTTTGGGACAAATTCAAGCAAAGAAGCAAAAATAAGAAGGACTATATCAGCAAGAAATCTAAAAAGTCCTAAGCATGGATTCTACTCACATCCACAGTCATATTCTGGTACTCGGACGGCATAGGAGTTTGTGCGACCTCATTATCCAGCTGTCTCCAGTACCGCGTCATATCTAAGGCAGAATGCATACACAGTGGACATCTGTAGCCTCTGCAAGAGACAATGAATAGGATCTATATACAAGATGACACAGCTCACTGGCACATAACCCGAACAGGGTAGTATTCTACATTTCAAGCTAACTTCTCAGGAACCTGAAAAATCTATGCAATAAAAAAGATAAATATTCAATTCTCTATTTTATGGTGCATTTAAATCCTAAGTCTTTATCCTCAACTCTCTAAAACAGAGAACTAGTCAGTACTCTTTGTAGAACTATGTCTTTACTTAGTAATACCAATTAAACTATTCATTAGCAAAACAACTTCAATTCTGATTGAAAGAATTTCTATTACTTAAAAAGTATTCCAATCAAAAAAAATAATTTAATCATATTACTACTTCCTGTCTAAAATTTTCAATAGTTGCACCATTTCTACTCTTTCCTATTTCTCATTTTAGTTCCAGTTTTAAAGAATATTTTCTTTGTAGTTCATTGCTGGACCTATAGAGGGCTAATAAAATGTGCAAACTGTTCTTCAGTGCTTTTACAACACCATGATTAATTCCAGAGGCAACTATGTTCCCCAGAACATATGGTTAGAAAACAAGAGGTTTTGCCCACCTCAAGCTACGTAAAGAAACAGGCATGATAAGGACATGGGAACAGAAATACAGTCCTGTTCCCCAAGACACCATGGCCAGCTAAACACCAGTTATCTACTCTGCTCACCTCCGTATACTTCTACCATACTCCAAACAGTGTACCTGGCCACCATGGTTTGCCCACCTCCCCACCACCCTCCTCACAAAAACAAACATCTTAAAACTGTACGTTTTAAAATAAAAAAAAAAACTCACTCTTTTAACATTTCTTCGTAACACGTTCTGAAAGAAAATAGAACAGTATTTCAGTAAAGAAAAACTACCTCCACTGCTTCCAAACACCTCCAAGCAAGAAGAAAGTTATCTTACCTATGTAAGAGATGCCCACACGGCAAGACATGAGCAACAACGCGGGACGTGTGAATGTCCTAAAAGGAAAGGAAGCCATTAGTGCCCTATAAAGACACTAGCAACACTCAAGCACTTTAAACCGAAGTAATTTCCAAAGTGAAAAATATTCCACACTCACCTCCAAACATATTGGACAATTCTGCCGAGAAACATTTTCAATACACTGTTTAAAGGAGAACCGTACATTAACAAAAGCATGAAAAGATAAAAATGTCAGCTACAACAGCATTAATAAAAAAACAAACTGGTTAAAAGAGCCAGTGAGATGACTCACTGGCCACCAAGCCTGAAGACCTGAGTTCAATCCCTGGAACCCACATGTTGGAAGGAGAGAACCCACTCCTGAAAGTTGTACTCTGGTCTCCATGTGTACACTACTAAGAGGTGGAGTTAAGTTGGAATCTCAGCAGTGTGAGGTTTTTGCATAGCAATACATGTCTAAATATATAGAAGGAGAGATCATTTTGGTTCTCAGGTACACTCCATATATATACAAACCCACATACCTTAATATCTATGTAATTAGGATGCTTCTGACGGTTAATGCCATCACTGAGTGAATTAAATTCAAATGAAGTGAATATGCAATGGGCTGGCTGTGTGTATGCACACGTGTGCATGTGTATACACAAATGTATTCTATATATGCCATGGAAACCAGGACAGAGCCAAAGAAATACAATCCATAAGGTTATTGAAAGTCATTCTCAATCCTGCCCGGCCCACTGGACTGGTTTCTCTCCCGCCCGCAAATCCCTGCAGCTGTTTAGAAAATAATCATTCAGACGCTTAATATTAATTATAATTGCTTGGTTGATGGCTCAGGCTTATGATTAGCCTGTTCCTACATATAAATTAACCCATTTCTAATTATCTGTGCATCGCCACGTGGCTTTGTGTCATTACCTATTCTCTAGTACATCTTGCTGTTCTGACTGCTTGCTAGCATCTCACCAGATCGAGCTCCCACAACATTACTGACTCCAAGCTATCTTCATTAGCCTGTCCTTTTAATTTTTCTTTAATTTAATGACTTTTGTTTATCTTGAGACAAGGCCCCTCTATGTAACTCAAGTGAGCCATGAACTTTCATGTGCCATAACCCTAGCCAGTTTATCTGACTATCGCCCCCCAATTTTTTTATTTGTTTTTTTTGTTGTTGTTGTTTGTTTTTCGAAACAGGGTCTCTCTGTAGCTTTGGAGCCTGCCATGGAACTAGCTCTTGTAGACCAGGCTGTCCTCGAACTCACAGAGATCAGCCTGCCTCTGCCCCCTGAGTGTTGGGATCAAAGGTGTGCATCACTACCGCCAAGCCACCCCAAAATTTTTAAGGTCAGACTCAATCTTTAACAAATTCACATCCTGCTCATCAAATTCCTTTAAGCTAAGACTGAGTATCTTGGGAGTTATAGTTATTCAGCCTCACTCTATTCTCAGTTATCATTTCTGTTGCTCATCTTAATTTTCCTCACTACTCTGTATCTGTATATTCTCTCTGTGTGTCTCTCTTTCTCTGTGTGTCTCTGTCTGCCTGTCTGTCTGTCTCATCTTCAGACAGAAGGCTATTTTTAGTCTCTTACTGGACTGCCCTCTATTTTATACTTTGCTTTGCTGATCCTCCATTCTTTATATTCTTACAGTAGATAGAATCAGTACTATAAATACAGTGTTTCATTAGATTATTTTTAAATAAGAGAGAGGGTCTGAGATTACAATAAAATTCCTATGCTTATATTTATGAGCCTTAATTATGAAAGAAATACAAAAAATACTTTCTAATTATTCTTAGAACACTGTAAATAATTATATCACTTAGTATTTTTCCTTTTACAGTTAATTTTAGAAGCTAGAAGCACTATCTATGATAAGAATCTGTACTCACTATAAGTGGCTTTTAGACATAAAGCAAAGAAAAATCAGCCTACAGTCCACAACCCCAGAGAACCTAGACAGCAAAGAGGATTCTAAGAGAGACATACCTGGATCTAATAAAAAGGAGAAGACAAGATTTCTTGAGTAAACTGGGAGCATGAAGGTCACAGAAGAGAGTAGAAAAGAAGAGGGGAAGGACAGGCTCCAAAACCACAGAGAAACCCTGTCTCGAAAAACCAAAAAAAAAAAAGAAAAGAAAAGAAGAGGGGAGGAAGGGAAGGGAGCAGAGAAAAATGTATAGCTCAATTAAAAGAAAAATTCATGAACCAACTGAGAAGCTGCCAGCATTATGCTAATAACTTCTATAGGCATTCTTACATTACGAAAAGTAAACTGTAGATCAAATATTCTGAGGCATATATTTTAGATTATCTACTTAATTCTACTTTTTAGAAAACCAAAGAACATAGTTGTAGTTGGTAATATATGAAAATTAGCATGTTTCTAAACATACTAGAATTTAAGCTTGTTTTCAAAAACACTAATAGGTTTGAAATTATGCAGCTCAATTATATACCTTATGTTTTCCTCGAAGATTCATGGCTAGGCATAAGTTACATTTCAAGCAGTGAAAAAAATCTTCTTTTGGACCAATCCTAACAAAACACAATATGAAAGCCAAAAGATTATTTTTATTACACGGTAATTTGTTCACTACACAAAACCCAAACTCAGTCTCACTGTAGGGTATTCAAACACACTGAAGAACGTGGAGAAACGCCATCTTTCCAGTGTCCACGGTAACCAGCATAAGCAGAGTGACTCTTCTGTAAAATCGGATATGGATGCACAGAACAGATGCACACAGGTTGAGCTTAATTTCTTACACAATTCTACAGATGCCGTTCTGCAATTATTTACACTTAGTAATATATCCTGATGATTGTGTCTGTCCATAGAAAACTACTTCATTCTTAATAGCCACACAGCAGTCAATGGTATAAATATATCATAATTTTCAAAAATATTTTATTGATAAAATTTACCATCTTTTTGTTTGTTTGTTTCAGTATTTTGAATCTGAAAAAATTTACAATCTTTACTTGCTACAATGACATAATTTTAAAAACTGTCCAGCTAGCATTTAATCCATATTTAGCCTATTTTTTTCACTATCCCTAAAAGTGACACTATTGAGTCAGAGAGTACTGGATCATCAACTGTGATATTGACAACCCGAACCCTCCAAAGACTGCTAGTTTACATGTCCACATGCATATTCCTCACAACCTGGACTACATGGACACATGCATGATAGATAATATATGCTATTCTAACTTTCATTTCTCAAATTACAAAGGACTAATTTTTAATGTTAAAGAACTGTTCAGATTTCTGTGAATTTTCTGTTGATGTGTTCTGCTCATTTCTCTACCTCAGTATTTGCCCTTTATCAATTAATTTAAAAGGAGCCTTAAACAGCCTGGATATTCACTTTTCACTATGTATGTTATGATCACTGCTCTGTTGTCTAGCTCTTCATAAAGATTCACCATCACTTTACATCTATTAAAATGAGTCAGTAGATAAAAGAAACACTGCTCTTGCAGACGACCCACATTCAGCTCCCAACACCCATGGCAGACAGCTCACAACCACCCATACTTCCAGCTCTGGGGATCTGAGCTCTAGCCTCCACGGTCACCTACGCTCACAAGTACACACACACAATTTAAAATAAAAACAAAAGTAAAACTTAAAGGCCATCAATATTTTCCTTTATAGTTTATGCTTTTTGCCCACTATTTAGGAAAAACTTCTGTAAACTATAGACCAAAAACATTCTCCTTTGTATACATTTTATATTTTCTTCAGGTTGAAGCTCATTATAAAATTTATAATATAAATGGTAAAAATAAGACTGCTAGCTGGGAGCCGGGCGGTGGTAGCGCACACCTTTAATCCCAGCACTCAGGAAGCAGAGGCAGGTGGATCTCTGTCAGTCTGAAGCCAGCCTGGTCTACAAGAGCTAGACAGGTTCCAAAGCTACAGAGAAACCCTATATCAAGAAACTTTAAAAAAAAAATGCTAGCTGATCCCTACATTTCTATTCTTTGCTTCTTTCACAATAAAACATTTATTTAAAAGGCAGTTATTCAGACCTATCCTGAAAACAGACAAGTTCCCTGCTTCTTTGGAGGCTGTGAAAAGATCCAATTTTCTTGTGTGAGAAGCGCTCTACAAGATGATTCAGAAAGCAAAGGCACGGCCAGCAGGCCGGAGAGCCTGATTGCATTCCCTGGAACTCCCATCATGGAAGGAGGGAACAGGCTCCTTCAACAATCCGCTGACTTCCACATGCACACATGGCACACAATTAAAGGAAATGAAGGGAAAGAGAATGCCTCCCTTACAGATCTAGTCATTTCTCCCTGCCCAGAATATGAGCCCGCAGAATCAAAGAAGAAAACACCTAGGATCAGAATGTGGAGGGTGCCAAGTTATTTAAGTACCTGAATCAGACTTTTCCATGAGAAATAAAATTCAGACTTTCATGAACTACTATTGAGTTTCTGTCACAAAAAGCTAAAACCGTTTTATAATGAATATGCACATTTCAGAATCAAGTTTTTTCCAAATAGGTATCAATTATCTTTGCTTGTTTTGTTGGGTTTTGTTTGCTTTGCTTTTTGAGAGAGGGTTTGTTTGTATAGCCTTGGCTTTCCTGGAACTAGCTCTGTAGATCAGGCTGGCTTTGAATTCAAAGAGATCAACCTGCCTCTGCCTCCTGAATGCTGGGATTAAAGACATGGTATCAGTTATCTCAATACCTTTTCTCAATTAGCACATTGTAGGAATTCTAATAGCATTCTTGGCTTGTACCCAGTAAATGTTATGACAAAACAAAATGTCTTCACAAACGGTCAGGGCACTGGCTGAGAGGATGGGAGCGCCGCCTGCAGAGCCCGAGGTCGCCGGTTCGAGTCCCAGGTAAGTCTGTACTATGCGAATGTGTCGGTCTGTGTCTCTGTGTGTGGATGAATGTCTCTGTGTCTGTGCTGACTGTGTGCTGTGTGTGAGTGTGACATGTGCATGCATAATTAATCGGGAAAAAAAATGTCTTCACAACCAAAATACTCTCTCAAGGCAAAATGATCCTTACTAAATTAAATAGATAAATAGATAATAAAAATCCATAAAATCTCCCCAGCATGACCACCCAAACAAGGACTCAACAAACATGCCAAACTTTGCAGGGGAAAAGCCCGTGAAGCCTCAACCCTACACAAAGAACTACAGACAACTGAAGCTAGGAGGAGAGATGGCCCTCCCCAGGAAAGAACACACCAATAGCATACAAGTAACATTATATCAACTCAACAGGTTATATTTAAGAACACTTATATACACAGAAATACACATATATATGTAGGCTTATAACAATTGGTGACAAAATAGACCACAAATTTGAAGGAGCGTGGGGAGGGCTTGAAGAGAGGAAAAAGAAAAGAGAAATGTTGTGATTAAATTACAATATCAAAAATAAGCAAATACAAGAAGAACCCCAGCACTTAACTCTAACAATGAGCCCTATAGGCAATAAATCAGATTACTACTTTCAGATGACCACACCTTAGATGATAGTCTCACTTTAAAAAAAAATAAGTCAGGCAGTGGTGGCCTAAGTTTTTAACACCAGCACTCAGGAGGCAGATCTCTGAGTTTGAGGCCAGCATGAAATATACAGCAAGCAGTGAGATCCTATCTCAAAACAAAACTAGCTAATTTTTTAAACTATTTTACTGGTTTAAATGAGAATGTCCCCACAAGCTCCAGTATTTACCTTCTTGGTCCCCTGTTGGTGGTGACATTTGGGGAAGTTTAAGAGGTGTGGCCTTGCTAGAGGAAATGTGTCCTTGAAGGAGAGCTTTGAGACACAAGTGAGCTAGTTCTTTCTCTCTCTGCTTCCTGCTTATAGAACAAGATGTGAGCTCTACGCTGTCGAATCCACCACCTACTGCTGAACTGTTCCCCATGCAGAGTGTGTGTGTGTGTGTGTGTGTGTGTGTGTGTGTGTGTGTGTGTGTCACCACCAACTCTAACCCTCTGGAAGCACAGCTCAAACTCTCCTCTCCTCCACATTTCACCACAGCAACAGAAAAGTGACTAAGATAACATAATTGGCCAAATGCACAGGAAATATTAGGAGATTTATATACAGTACCTACAAATTCCACAGTTCTCGCAATGATACTGTTTCTTATCTTTGTCAAACAGATGGCATATATTGCAGTAATATTCTCCAAACAGTGTGCTACAATGTTCACAAGTCTGCTGGGCCTGAAAAGGACACAGTAGTTAAAAACTCAAGTAACTTTACCAAAACGATTTAAATATTCAGAATTTATATGAAAGCATGTTTAGCTTATTTTTATGTTTTTAAACATCTAACTCAACAATATTACTTACTCAGAGTTAGAGTTAAGTCTCATTTCCAACTTTTGATTAAAGTTTTTAATCCATCTTAAAACTTGAAAAAGTAAGGCAGGTGCCTTAAGATCTTACATGCTGGAGTCTTTCACAGTTGATGCACTGCACTTCCTTTACTTGGAAACGATCCAGCTGGTGATCTTCATTGTTGTCATGACACAGCCGGCACGTATAGAGCTTGTCACAACAAGGTGCCTAACCCAGGGGAACAAAGGGAGCATAAGAAGACAAGTTAATTACAAAGAAAGAAAATTCCTACATCATTCTCTGATCAAGGTCAAAGATTACAACCAATGGATCCATGGCTAGCTTTCATTTCTTGGCATATTTGATGTTAATAATCTTCCCCTTCAATATCTGCCTGAAAGACTCTAAATACAACTTTAAAACACAAACATTATAAAGGCAGAAATCTCTAGACAGAAAAAACAATCCCACAACAACCGCATCTCATTCTCAACCTAAATAGTAGATAACACCTTCTTAGACATTGTCAGAAAAAAAAAACAACATCTAAACACAAACTGTTTTAACTTCACTAATATTTACTAATCATAATGCATATACCTAATATTGCATAGGATACAATAAATTTGTTTTTAGAGAGGGTCTCTCAATGTAGCCCTGGCTGTCCTAAAACTAACTACGGGCCAGCTATGATCAGATTACCCCGCCTCCTAAGTGCAAGGGTTAAAAACATACACCTCCACGCCCAGACTCACTGATTTTGAGAGTGTTAAAAACTGCCAATTGTCCACTGAAATCTGTTCCCTCCTTAGAGCAGATTATTGAATATTCTACAGCTGGATCCCACATAAAGATGATCAAATGCCTTACAATATGTTAAAATAATACAACAGAAAAAAAATTGACTCTAAAATGACCAAGTGGAACAGTGGTCTTTACCCATCTGGATCACACTTGGAATTGTTACATGGAAAGAAATGTACAGAAATGTATTCTTGATTATTTAAACCTCATTATTGTTAGGTCATTTCATAAGTGTTTAACTTTTACCCCGTTATATCAAGAAATGCCAGGTTTGGTATGTAGATATTGGTATAGTACTTTCCTGGCATTATGCAAGGTATTCATTTCAATACCTAATCCCCAGAATTCAAAAAAGAACATCTCTTTTATTTTTTTTTGGGGGGGGGGTGGGGAGGAGCTGAAATGACCAAAATGTATGACATTGTCAGGGGGAAAAAAAATGTAGCTATAAGGAAGGAAGGAAAGAAGGAAGGAAGGAAGGAAGGAAGGAAGGAAGGAAGGAAAGAAGGAAGGAAGGAAAGAAGGGAGAAAAAAGAAATTCCCAGGCCAAATGTTTCTCCAGTGTACTGACTGTGCAGATCTGCACATCCTGACCATTTCCTAAGGCTGTTACTGAACACACCCCATCCTTTAAGTGCTGTAACATGTTACTAACTTCTTTTTCTTCAACATTATTCTTGACTAAATTTTAGTGATGAATATATCCACAATAATCCCTTCAATAACCTAAATTTTCTCACTTTCGATGGCCTTGTATCCCAATCCTCCTCTGCCGCGCAGTCCCATCCCTAAGTGTGAACACAACGATATCCACAAGCATTTCAGTCTCAGGCCCCTGTTAAGCTCTAAGACTCTTAAGGGTATCAAAGAACTTCTGTTTACCTGGACTATAGCTATCAATATCTCACATAAGAATTATGTCTCCCATATACTCAAGCTTGAATAACCAATTATTTTCAAGCAAAAAAAAAAGTTCCATGAACAAAGCAACTAATTTACTTCACAAATGCCTAAGAATCTTTACTCAAGAAAACCAAATGCTTGCTGAAAGTCTTCTATTTGTCAAATAAACTACTAAAAGATACGGATGAGAATGAGCTAAGATTTGATAATTATTAATTTTAGCACTTCATCAATGACATTTTTAAGTGACACTGGCTCTAACTGTAGGTATACTACAGTGTACCTGATTGCAATACAAAATCCCTGCTTGATTCATACGGAGACTAGTTTTAATCATTGCTTTCCACCATCAGTATAAATGCCAACACACTGGATACAGCACATCTACTATCCCACAAAGTAGTTTTTAGAGATTCCTGCGGATCCAGTCATCACACTCTGCAACTGCTGCTCCTGAGAAAGGACTGTACTAGCCCTGTATTTCAATTCCAAGAACGAATTCTACCACTAACTCTCTACTCTTCTCAACTAATTCCATGTGTTCCCTTGCACATAGCCTAGCTGCCTCTTCCTTTCTCCAAATACCAGACAGCTAAACCCTAACACTAGCTGAACCCCACTCCTATCCACTGACATGCATCAGAAGCAGCTAACCACAGCTGAAGTAAACACCACCACACTGTCTGGTCTCCTTCTTTGTTTGTTTTTATTGTGTGACAGAGAAGAACATACTTTTGTATGCCTGCCCCTAAGCTTTTAAACTTTATTACTCTGAGATTCCTGACAATACCTTTCATGAGCTCTGTGTGAACTTTTGAAGACTATAATATGGAAAACTCCAAGTTTTCTTCCCTTAAACACAGACATCATTATTAACAGAATTCATTTTTACACTAGTAGTGAAAATTGTACTAGAATTTATCACTAAACTAACATTTTATTTTTTTTAAAATGTCTTCATATCTTCACTGTAACTTCCTGTTCTTAACTTCTTGGTGTAATGATAAATAAAAATAAACTTCTTTGAATTTTCTGCACTGTTCTTGGCACCTCAAATTATTCTTGCTTCACTAGACACTCAAAAAAAATATTTTATTACCATCATTTCATAGTTAATGCTCTCATTCTTCTAGAGTCTAAGCCTCAAGGTCTAGCACAGTGGTTCTCAACCTTCCTAATGCAGCAACCCTTTAAAACAGTTCCTCAGGCTGTGGTAACTGACCCTGTGGCTAACATAGATAAGAATAATGGGTTAATTATTAAAATTATTAGTTAAAAGAGCTAATACGAAGCTTGAGCTAATGGGCCAATCAGTTTATAACATATGAAGACCTCTGTGTAATTTTCTTTGGGACTTGTTGGCTGTGGGAACTGGGCAGGACAGAAACCTCTACAAGCAGGCCCTCATGTTACAGATGGCGCCAATGTGTGGACAACTGCATCCACAGAAAACCTGAGAGAGCTTGCTAAGTAATTCTAGACAAAAAAGAATCGAGTAAAGCATGGTTTTTGGTAGCAGCAATTTCTCAGATCTGCTCTGCTTGCTAAAGGCACGCAAGCACTCTCATCTAAGATAGGCTTCCTGACTCAGCTTTAGCTGTAAAGCCTTGCAGCTCTTTTAAGAGGTCCTGCCAAGAAACACTTACATAGTGTTGATGAAAAGCTGACCGCATGCTTTTCAGTTTTCAGCCACAGCAGAAAAAAAGCTGCGCCCTTTTAAAATGCCGGCTTTCTGGGCCGTGTCAGGGCAAACTCTGACTCTTTCAGGCAGGCGGTCCAACTACGGAGCATTTGTGTGTGGTTTGTGAGCAGACTGCTGCAGCTTGCTTACTGGTAGGGACCTTGAAACACTGTAGAGTTGTGGCAATAAACATGGCTACAGACTACCTCCACCATGAGGCTGAAATCTCAGAAAGCTAAGAAATGGGCTGGATCTAGTCGTCAAAGCCACAGCTTTAATCCTACCCATATTGCTTAGTATATTAAAGACTCATGTGGTCAGAAAAAGAGAGATATATACAGTGAAGATAGATTCAAAGATTTAAAAAAAATCTAAACAGCTTACTGTGTGTTAAAAATATATGCTGGCTTGGGAGAGAAAAGAAAAGGTTAAAGGAAAGAAAGGAAGGAAGGAAGGAAAGAAAGAAAGAAAGAAAGAAAGAAGGAAGGAAGGGAGGGAGGAAGGGTAGTAGTTGGGTGTGGTGGTACACACCTTAATCCCAATGCTTGGGAGGCAGAGGCAAAAAGACCTCTGCGAGTTCAAGGTGTGGTGGCACATGCCTTTAATCCCAAAGACTGGGAGACAGAGGCAGACAAGTCTCTGTGAGCTCAAGGTGTGGTAGCACACACCTTTAATTCCCGAAGCTAGGGAGGCAGAGGCAGACAGACCTCTGTGAATTCAAGGTGTGGTGGTGGACACCTTTAATCCCAGCACTTGGGAGGCAGAGACAGTGGATCTCTGTGAGTTCAAGGACAACCTGGTCTACAGAGGGAGTTCCAAGACAAAGATACACAGAGAACCTGTCTCAGTTCTCTAAGTCAAAAGTTAAAAATAAAAATAAAAGAAATAGAGGTTAAAATAAAGCCATGTAAAGATGAAAAGTACACAGAGAATCTTGATACTGTATGTTATTATGCTCTCTTTGAATTGTTTGAATGCTGTGGAAGGAGCAACAGCTGCTAAAAGATATTTGCTTATAAATGCTGAATTAATCCAAGATAGGTATTTTGAAAATACCTTGACTTCAAAATTGAAGTCAAAAGGTATGTTACTTTGGAGAAGAGATTTTGCTTTTGTTTCCACAGGAAATGAGAGGCTGTGGATTCATTCTGAGTTAAGAAAAATCAGATTTGATCAAGGAAGATCAACTGGAGAAATCTCCAGTAGGAATAGATGGCCCAGATGTCTGAGTTCTACATCCAGAAAAGATTCAAGACTATTGCCTGAGAAGATCAAGACTCACAGGATACTCCAGTCAGGACTTGATCATAATTCTAAATTTTCTTTAGGTTCCCATAAGATTATCAGCACCCCCAACCAGCAGGAAGTAGCCTGGAATACCCCACCCACATTCCCAAAAAATGGACTATGGATATTTTCCTTTGTTTTTTTTTTTAAAAAAAGAGGGGGAAGTGGTGTAGGATAATTCTATATTCTGTCAATTATATTTTAAATAAATTGATTGGCCAGTAGCCAGGAAGGAAGTATAGGCAGGACAACCAGACAGGAAGTAGAGGGGGGGACAATCAGACAGGAAATAGAGGCGGGGCAATGAGTACAAGAGTATTCTGGGAAGAAGGAGGCTCTTTCCGCAGTCCTCCTCAGATCACGAAAGAAGCAAGATGTGACCTACCCAGCTGAAAAAGGTATCGAGCTATGTGGCTAACATAGATAAAAATAATGGGTTGATATAAGTTTTAAGAGCTAATATGAAGCCTGAGCTAATGAGCCAATAAGTTTATATAACTTATGGAGACCTCTGTGTGATTTTTTTTGGGACTTGCCAGCTGTGGGAACTGGGCAGGACAGAATCCCCCACAAGCAGGCCCTCATGTTACATGACCCCAACTAAAAAATTATTTCATTGCCACTTCCTGTGATTTTTATAACCAATTGTTATGAATCATAATGAAAATATCTGCTATGCAGGATATCTGATATACAACCCTTGTGAGAGGGTCATTCCACTCCCCACATCTAACCCCCATGTTGAGAACTCATGATCTAGATGCTCCTTTTACAGTTTCCCCTTTAAAACTCTGAACACCTCTTTCTTCCTGGCAACAGTCTGTTAATGACCTTGCTACTAATTTCACTATCAAAATAGTAGTAATCAAAATAAACTCACCCACAAGATCTATCAACCTTCTTGAGAATAAATATGCTTTATCTTCTAGGTAGAAACTAGACAGAAACTAGAATCACTTAAGAAGTGGGAACCTCAACTGAGGATTTGCCTCCATCAAATTACCCAGTTCCAACACCTGTGGGGCATTTTCTGGATTCATGACTGATGTATGAAGGCCCAGACCACTGCCATCACTACCATCCCTGGGCAGGTGATCCTATGTTATATAAGAAAGGATGCTGAGCGAGCCGTGGAGTGCAGGCCAGTAGTAAGCAGCATTCCATAGCCTCAGCTTCACCTCCTACCTCCAGGTTCCTGCCCTGCATGAGATCCTGACCTGGCTTCCCCTAATGAACTGTCACAAGAAGTGTAAGCAATAAACCCTTTGTTCCTCAAGTAGTTTTGGGTTATGGTGTTTATTACAGAACTAAACTACTACACTCTACCTTGTCGTCATCTACAAAGACTCTAGTTAGTCCAGGCTTGCAGCCAAGATCGGCTTCACGTTGACTGCTCAAGCAGAACAGTAGTCCTAGAATGTTCCCTTTTCCTGCTACATTACCAAACGACCTCTTAGATCATTGCCCCAGTGTACAAAAACATACTGTAACACATCTTCAGCAAAACAACCACGTTTGCTCTCCTTTGCAATAAAAATCCAAAATTTCTGCTATTTCCAGTATCCACTCCAATAAATCTTTATTCTGGATCATTTCATTGACATTTCTCTTGTCAAGATCAACCTTGACAAACCAAAGGTCAATTGCCACTCCTTCTCTGATTGAACTGCTGCACTCAGCTTCCTCCTTCAAAGACCTCGGTGGGCCTCTGCTACTTAAGGAAGAGGAAGAGCGGAAAGAAGAGCAATGCATGACACTCAGGAAAAAGCAGTTAAAGTGCTTTGAAACACAACTGTGGCTGTGAAATTACTTTGCCGGGCCAGGGAAGGGCAAGATATGAAATTCAGTCCCATATCTGACTTTGAACCTATGAAAATATTGCAGTAGAAATGCAATCAGAAGAACAGTATTCAACTGCTTACACAACATTTGATAATTCATCCGTCTGAAAGAACTCCATCCAGTGCAACCAAACAATATTCACCAAACCGTGGCCTACAGAAAAAGGGTTTAAGTTGTCCTACAGATCTAAGTGTATCATTTAATCCTAGCTTTCAAGGTCAGTGACCAGCAGGGCTGACCAGTAAAGTGAAATGGAAAAAAAAAAAAAAAAAAAAAAAAAAAGCTAGTGACTGAGAGTGGTAAGTAATTTTTACTGCTCATTTCTGGGGATGCACCTCCTAAACACATGTACACTCTAGTATGCAATCATCATTTTATTAATAAAAGAGGGACTTTCCCCACAGCAGTGGAGACTGAAGCTATAGACTCTCTGGTGAGGTTAGTAGTATACACACACACACACTCACCTCCCCCAACCCTTTTTCTCTTCCTTCCTGGCAGTAGCACCCCCAGGCTGGCATTCCTACTGCCTCCGCTTCACACATAGCTGGAAGTGCACCTCTGATAAAACTACAGGCCTTCACCTCTAACACCAGCCATGAAAAAACGAACTTCTAGCCAGGCGGTGGTGGCACACACCTTTAATCCCAGCACTCAGGAGGCAGAGGCAGGCAGATCTCTCTGAGTTCAGCCTGGTCTACGGCACTAATTCCTCCAGGACAGCTAGGACTATTACACAGAGAAACCCTGTCTCATAAAACCAAAAAAGAAAAAAAAAGGGGGGGGGCTTCAGAAATTGCCATTTTATATGCAAGCTATTTAAAAAGCAGCTTGCTCAAAATTACAGAGTAAATCTAGGGCAGAACTAAGGTGGGGCGAAGCTATAGGATTCCAGCAATCAAATTTCTTCTCGGTGGGAGGAGATTTCTGAAGCCCTAGCTGAACCTGGGCCTCCAGCATTTTAAGCACAAGGTCTACTGCTGGGCTACTCTCCCCAGCTCAAATACCAGGCTTTCTCAACAAAATAAAGTCAGGAAACTCTTAACTGTGTGAGGACCATTTTTAAAAACTCCAAATGACTAGGTTTCTTTACCAGCAAAAATAATCGCGTAAACGTCCTAGGCACGTCCCTGAAAGCCAATGAAATGGCAATCACACGCTGTGTGATTCTCCTATCACACTTCTCTCTTTTCTCCTTGACAGGTCTGGGCATCCTCCTAGACAACAAAGCGAAGCTGACAGACCAGACCCTGGGCTTGCTGCCCGAAGAGAAGTTATATTCTGATTTTCCCGTTGCTTCGCCTCCTTCCGTCACCGTCCTCCACAACTGACAGAGGTCCTGTGCCACTACTTCCTTCTGCTGTCAACCGCAAATGACGACTCAAGCCATTGCATAAGGGACTCCGTGCGAGGCCCGGCTCGACAAACAAGAACTCGGCTTGCAAAGTCCAAACGCTGAGATCGAGTCCAGGGCTCGTGCTCACCCTGCCCAAAAAGCCTTCTCCGCAAGGGGAACCCATCGCAGATGCAGAAGGCATCTCAACAAGCCAATCAGTCTGAAACTTACGCCCGGCCCAACCCGCCCCCCGCCTAACCCGGCACCCCCTCGGGAAGCGCCCTTTAAAGTCATCACCTTGAGGAGACAGCCCCGGTCGTAGTGCTCGCAGCCCCGCCGCCCTCGCTCCTGGCTGAGGACGCCATCTTCCCGCGCCGTCGCCGCCATCTCCTCCACCTACCCTCACGATCAACAGAGCCTTCCCCCAGCTTGGAAGCCACACCTCGGAGCAGCAGAGCCGGCCTGACACGCCTCCCTCTCGCAGCGGCGGCCACCGCGGGCAAGATGGCGGCTGCTCACGTGACCCGGGGCACTCGGATTTCCGGTTCCTGCTCGAGGGGGCGGAAGCGAAGGGAGGCGCTAGCTCCGTCGCCGACGTTAGTCGCTGTCTTCGCTGCTAACGGTAATAACGCGTAGGTTGGCTCTCCTTTCTTCCCCGCATCGCTGCCGGCCCAGAGCTCGGGGCGAAGGGGGCCGCCGCGACGCCGGGTGGGGGCCCCGCTTGCAAGCCGCCCTCGGCCGCCCGGCGCCTTCGAGGAGAGGCCCCTCCCTCGGCCGGGCTCGCGGCCGCCTCCAGCAGGGGGCGGAGCTCGGTGGCCGCGCGACGGGCACCCCCTCGAGCTGGCGGCTGCCCACGTTCCCTTCCCGTTTCCCCGTGCTGATCGCCAGCTAAGAAGTGAGGAGAAAAAGTGGGGAAACGGAGGCACGCCGTGACCTGCCCCAGTGGAACTCACAGAAGGCTGGGGGAAAGAACCACTGTGTTAAATGAGATCACAGTTTGGAGGGACCCTTGAAGGATAACCGTGTGTGGTTTCCCCGGGGAAGGGGACCCTCGAGCTAAAAGGGGAATGGCAAACAGTGTCCCAGGAGTTAGGGTACCCAGAACTGCGGCAGGGAAAATCGGGTCCGTAAGAACACGAGACAAATAACGAAATCTACAAAGTTGTAATCGTAGACTTCACGGTACATCAAATGACCATTCTTATCTAAAAAAAAAGGACCCACACTTGAGAAATTTTTACCAGCGAAACTTCTTTTTGGGGGTGGTGGGGAATTACCTTTGACTTTAGCCCTGAAGTCACTAACTCATTTTAATTCTCTTACAGTTTCGTTATGAGTTGCTAAAATCATGGTGAAATGTTGCTCGGCCATTGGATGTGCATCTCGCTGTTTGCCAAATTCCAAGTTAAAAGGACTGACATTTCATGTGTAAGGCTTCGCTGTTACTGAAATAAGCGATTCTACCTAAGTCTACAGTCTCAAGCTCTGTTCCCCGGTCCTCTTAAAGTAGCCTTCACGCCTTTATAAGGTGCCAAGGAATCAAAGACGAGAGTAACACCACCAAGAATAAAATCCCCACACACAAATCGTCAGACTCGCCTTTGCTACTTTTTACATTTGAACTGTTAGGCTCCCTGTCCTTTACATGCCCTTTACAGTCTAAATGGGGGGCCTTTGTTAAAATACACCTCCCTTCTATTTAGAAACAGAGGAGGCTTAAAGGTGTTCCCATGGGACTATCTAATATGATTGTAAACCTGCTAAGGATTTGCAGCTTTTGTGTGACTTTATTTGGGAAAGATCTAGTTACTTTGATAGACATGGAAATAAAAAGTTAATATGTCTACACTACCTTATCCAAAATAATTGTAATGGTTTGGAAATTTTGAGAATTTTGATTATTGACTCCCATATCTCCCAAGACAGTTCTGTCTTGAGAATTCTAGACCCCACAGCTATTTTCTGCACATTTCGTAAAGCATTTGTAGACCTGCTATGTATTAGCTGCTGTTCCGTGTAATTTTTGGATAATGCCAGAAGTGAAAGTACAGGGTAAATTGTGGATGTCACCTCAGGACGGGAAAGGCCAGTGGTATACTTTCACATCTGTAGATAAGGGAAAACCATGGATTGCAGATCCTGCCCCAAGGTGCTGAAGGTCCACTGAGAAGTTCATATGGTGTGATAAAACGTTAAATAGAGGTCCTATGTCTGAAGAAGAGTCGGCAGAAAAGTTTGGATGTTAAATCTGAGTTGTGAGACCGGCAGGATATCTTAGTGGGTGAAGGCAGTTGTCCCCAAGCCTAATGACCTAAGTTCAATACCCAGGACCGACAAAGGAAGAGAAAAAACTCCCACAAATTGCTCTCTAGTCTATATGTGCATACCATAGGATGCATGTGCGCACATGTGCATGTAAATAAAATTGTATTTTTTTTTTTTTTGGATTTTCGAGACAGGGTTTCTCTCAAGTTTTTGGTGCCTCTCCTGGAACTAGCTCCTGTAGACCAGGCTGGCCTCGAACTCACAGAGATCTGCCTGCCTCTGCCTTCCGAGTGCTGGGATTAAAAGCATGCGCCACCACCGCCCGGCAAAATTGTAATTTTTAAAAATTAATTTGTTGCCGGGTGATGGTGGTGCACGCCTTTAATCCCAGCACTCGGAAGGCAGAGGCAGGCGGATCTCTGTGAGTTCGAGGCCAGCCTGATCTACAAGGGCTAGTTCCAGGGCAAGCTCCAAAAGCTACAGAGAAACCCTGTCTCGAAAAAAAAAAATAGTTACATAGCAAGAATCATGATTTTCTAAATGTTTCAGTTTAAATATATATCAGTAGTATTTAATTTTAAAATTTTTTATTTCTTTCTAGATTCCCCACAGATGAAAACATCAAGCGAAAATGGGTGTTGGCAATGAAAAGACTAGATGTGAATGCCGCAGGCATCTGGGAGCCAAAGAAAGGAGATGTGCTGTGCTCAAGGCACTTCAAGAAGACAGACTTTGACAGAAGCACTCCGAACACTAAACTGAAGCCAGGAGTCATCCCTTCTGTCTTTGACTCCCCAGATCACTTGCAGGTTTGTTTGCAAACTACTGCTGGCTCTGAGCACTCACTTCCTGTGACGGTTCTGAAGACACTTCAGCACTCGTGGGTTTGTCGGTGTGACTTTCTTCATCTGAAGTGCATTCTGGGGGTTCCAGGGAGTGTAGCTTCAGCTTTTCATGATGCCTGGCAGATGATATAGCCAGCAGCCCCCCTTAAACATTGGTTAATGGCTAGGGTTCAGATAAGTGGACTGATGGAGAGAATTGTCTTAACTCAGAACCAGCTTCTTAAAAATGGAGAAGGTTGCACTGAGGTTTCAGATTGACCGTACTTAAGAACTCGGGAGCATGGCAGGCCATGTGCTTTAGTCCCAGCACTCATGAGGCAGAGGCAAAAGGATCTCTGTGAGTCTGAGGCCTTCCTGGGCTACAGAGCAAATTCCAGAACAGCCAGGGCTACACAGAGAAACCCTGCCTCAAAAAAACATAAACAAAAAAAGAAAGAAAAAGAAAACTCAAGAGCAAACTGCAAATTGGACCAAAGTGTGGTTCCAAGTGAAGTCACAGGTATAAAATTTAAAACTTAGATATGAACAAAAGTCAAAAAAGCAGAAAAAAGGATAAGTGAAAAAGACAGAGATGAGGTTACGAAAGAAAAATAGAAGGGTTGAGTAGTAAACCTCGTTGGATTCTATTCTTTTCCAGTAACAGTGCTGTGAGTTGATCACTTTGCCCTTGATGGCTGTCTTTTCTTCAAGAAGGGACGTGGACCATGATTATCGCTGTAACTCACTTCCTCAGGTCCTTTCTGTCTTCTTTTTCTCAGCTGGTGAGGAGTGTCCTTTTTCATTTTCACTCTTCATTTTTAGGGAAATTTTATGTTAATAGATGAACCCTAGAGGTGCTTTAGGGATGCTCTTTGAAAGTAAACAGAAAACACACTGACTTCCTTCCAAAATAGTCTCTGCAAGCAGTACAGTGTTTCACTATGTACTTTTTTTCACTTTGAAAGTCAGGAAGGAATCAAACTGTAAGAACAGATACAGTCACAATGGTTTTCATTAACTGTTCCTAACAGGAGAAGAGAGAAAAACTTCATTGTAGGAAAAACTTCATTCTCAAAACTCTTCCAGTCACTAACCATGGTCACCAGCTTGTCGGTGCCTCATGCATTGAAGAATTCCAATCCCAGTTCATTTTTGTAAGTAAAATTTTTTGCTGAGCTAATTGTTGAGTTAATTGCTTTAAGGTGAATATGGTCTCTCCACTAGGATCAAATATGTCAGAGTTATAGCAAAACAGAACGTAGACTTGTTGAGAAGGGGTCTTTACTATGTGATGTTTCCAAACGCGCTTGCTTCCCAGGATCGTTGTGATCGGAAGGCATGCAGGAGCAGTACAGAAGCAGTTACTCTGCTGGTTACTGAGTATAAAGAATGCCTTTACAAGGATGAGTCTGCAGATAAAATAACTCCTCCCTTTAAGTAATATATTTTCTTCATGGAAATATGTAATTAATAATAGCTCTATCTTTAGGTTTTGTTGAAAAAGTCACAGAACACAGAGTATTCAGGCTTGTATGTACTTAGAGAGTCCTTGTTCATACAAATGCTAGGCATTAAATACAAACTGTCTTATACAGCTTTACCATTTTAGAATCAGGTGCTGTCGGTCTACTTTCTTTGTTATGTATCAAAGTTGTTTTGGCCATTATCGGTTCTTTGCATTTTTATATGAATTTAAAATCACTTGGCAAAATTTTACCAAAACCCGTGCTAGAATTTTCACTGGTCCTCTGCTGCCTCTGTAGATCCCATGGAGAGAAGCGAGAGCTGGGGATCTTAAGGAGTCTTTCGGCACTGGAACTTGAGTGCCCCTGTATTCGGCCTTTACCTTCTCAGCCCTGCATGAAAGCGCTCAGCACACGGGTGTTTTGCTTTGGCAGATCTGACCCTTAGTATTTTCTGTTTGCTTACTGCTCTAAATGATACCATTGTGTTTGCTCCTAGAAGATGGAAATATAATTTACGTTGATCTTATATCTGACAAATGTGCTGAACTCAGATATTAAGTACAGTACAGTTTTTTTTTCCTTAAGGCCATCAGATTTTTTGCATAGATCTTCATGTTCTCTATAATGAAGGCAGTTTTAATTCTTCCTTCGTCCTATAAATGTGTTTGTTGCTTTTCCTTGCTTTGCTGAACTTCTTGAGACTCCAGGACTGTGATGAGAAATGTTGAGAGCCAGTGTTCAGGCAATCCCATCTCCTAACATGATTTTTCTTTTTTAAGTTAACTTGTAAGTTATGTCAACTGACTTCTCAAGGGCTGAACTAACGTTTTACTCCAGGATGACCCTTACTCCATAGTGTTTCATTGTTTTTATGTATTTTGTGTACAACTTGGGAGTTTGTTAGTTTAATCTTTCCTTGAGTGTTTAAGAGGGATATTTAGTGTATAGGGCTCCCCTCC